ACCGTCAGCAGCCAGGCAGCTATGTTCTACCTATAGAGCCCGAGTTCATTCAGCAAAGGATTTTGTTTCTATGCATATCAATCCAATTCCTTTCCTCCATTACCTTATTAGTGCTTGTCTTGAGCTTGACAGCTAAGGTGGCAAATCTATTTTAGCCTCAAGAACATCTCTTTACTTAAAGATTGCTCAGATCCTCTATGCTAATACTTTAACACACTGGAAGCCAGACTCCAAGCCTACTAAAGAGCAAGCTTCATAAGATGGAGAAGACCGGATGCTTTTTAGGAAGTCACGTATTAAGAATCTATTATTTAAATTCCTCTTCAAGTGTAAAGGAAATCTCACATCAGTGAGCTGATATCTCCATAGGATGCTAGTTAAAGCTGTCTCATCTTGGAAGTCAGGCAGCAATATTTTTATAATTCTAGCCTACCTCTGTTCAAGGGGAGGCTCATCTCTCCTTCTAGACCCATTTGGTCTAAGCACGAACATGAGGAAGAGGAAAGAAATTCTCCTTCCTCTTTTTGGTGTGCAAGTAGCCAATCCTGAATTGTGAAAGTACTGCATCTAACAGCTCCAGCACTGTTTCCAAATTGATTCTGTCCATGTTCCCCAGCACGCACAACCTTTTAAGAAACCATTTTGGGTGAAACAGCATTTAGACACAATCTTTTAGCTCTGCATCTGATCCAGCAGAGATGGACTATTAGGACACAATAAACTATAGAAAACTGGGGAAGTGGGTGACGGGAAAAACAACTTTTCTCTGTGGCAGATGTGTTATAACCTTGCCTTCTGCCCAAGTTTATGGCATTGGATTCTTTCCAGGATCTCGTTAAAGAAACACACTATGCCTTGTAACCCACCGTGAATAAGTTATACCTTAAGCGCAGGGACAAGCAAAATGCAGCCTGCGGGCTGGATGTGGCCTGACACACCATCCTATCCGGCCCACGGGGACCCTAAAAAATTTAGAAAATTAATATTTATCTGCCCTTAGCTGCCTGTCATGTGGCCCTTGATGGCTTGCCAAAACTCAATAAGCAGCCCTTTGCCCAAAATAATTGCCTATCCCTGCCTTAGTTTCATCCACAAAGGCAAGACCTGCAGTTTACAGAACAGAGAGGTAGTCAGCCCGATTAGTCTGAAGCGAGGCAGAAGGCAGGGCAGAGTGGGACCTGCAGTTTAAAAAGACAGGCTACTACTAACGTGGTTGCTTGGCAGAGTAAGTTTTAATTGTGCAGGAAGCCTCTAAATGTATCAGAACATAGGAGATTTCTGTCATGCATCTGTAACGCCATTGCAAGAGGCACGAGCAAATACAATCGTATAGCAGGAAGGTTGTTATTTTCCTCTAGTTCACATTAATTGCCCCACCTAATTAATTACCTTGGATGGTTCCACGTTTTGGTGTTTTTTAGGCACAGGAGTTTCAACTAGGTGTCAGAACCATTTTTACAGCTAGTCCAAGTACCAATCTTTTGGTTAGCTCGGACCAACACAACTATTGCCCAGAAAAACCAGCAGAAAAGAAACAGGCTCTTTTGGGTGCCAAGCCAGGAAAAGATGAGTTGAGAAGCAGCAGAGCAACAGTGGGGCTGTAAGGGAGATGATTTCTGCTGGTTTGGAAAGGGAGCATGAGTTGGCACCATTTGGGAAGTGACAGAGGTTGGAAGGGACCCAGGAGCTCAGCCAGCACTTGGGCCACTGGCAGCAGGATTTAGGATTGATACCAATACCACCACACAAGCGTGCTTTTTCCTTTTAAAAGGTTCCTTTAGACATCTTCCCCCTCAAGTCCCATTCTGCGACCATCATGACTGCGACAAAAGCATCTTTCCTTGTGACATGTCAGTTTACTGATATAACTGCGAGATCTAATGCATCCCTTGACAATGCCCCCAAACTGAAATACAGCCGCTTGACAAAATTGAGGCCTACACTGTTAAAATTTGAGACTGGCCTTTCAAAGCAGCCTATGGGAGGCAGGCAGCCAAATCTTATTAAAATTCAACTGGATTTGGGCACATAACTACCGTCGACTCCCCTGAAAAATCCCCGTTTAAATTCTTGATCTGACATGAAGGGAGGCCCCTGTCCCATTGTTGCAAACACGGACAGCTTGCCCTGTGGAAGCGGTTGTAAGCCAACTCCAGTTACACTTTAACAGTTCAGAAGCGAGTCCAAATCATTTCCTTGTGTATAATGCTGCATTGTCCCTTCCTGCACACAGTTTGGCACAGAGTGGCCTAACGAACATTTTCTGCTAACAACGTACTGTGTTTTTATGTGCTCTTGGATAGAAACGACATTATGTGTTTCTGACAATAACAATCAGCGCTCCAATGCTTGGCAAGGAGTCAGTAACAATTTACTAATAGTAATAACACAGTTTCCCCCAGCAACAGAAAAATAAAAAACAGCTTAGAAAGAAGTTGCAGCTGGACATGGGACTGTAAAAGAAGTCTGCCCATCTACTGCAGTTTGGTAGAAATAACTTCCTTGGCCTGCCCCTTGGTTCAGCACCACAAGGGCAACAGTCGGTGAATTAATATTCTGCTTCCCATTTCAGTACCATTCGCAGGTGTTGGAAGGCACAGATCCATAAGTTAACATCTGGACTCATTCCAGGTCAGTACAGGGTTTGAAGTTTGACTACTGATTTGGGGAACATTTTCTTCTGAGAAAAAGGCTGGAATAAAGAGCGAGTCAGCCCAGGGAGAACGAGAACTAAACGAAGCCAAAAGTTGACAGAGTGAAAAACAAAGAATGAGAAAGCAATAGGCTAAAGAAAAACAGGCGCTTTGTACACTCTCCAAATAAAAAGGCACCCAACAAGCAACGAGAGGGGATTGCTATTACACATGCACCTCTTTAGGACTTAAAAAGTGAATTTGAAGGGGAAAGAGAGAGGTAACAGTAAACATCCACTTGTGTTACAGGAAAACGAGAGAGAGATATTAAAGATATCAAACTGCCATCAGGCCTTCCTTCCTGCAGGGCTGGGTCTCTAGAGCAGGGGTCTATACTTCAAGACAGAGGAAACAATCAATTTTTGCTGCCACCTGCATGAACAAGAACAGCGAACATTGTTTCAGGAAGGTTTTGGCCAAGTCACACATTTACATCAGGTTCAGAAATCTGCTACTCACTTTCTACAGAAAGAGGAAAAGAAACAGAATTTGGTAATCCAAGCATTCTGTATTATTTGAGAACTATTTATAAAGTACTTCCTCCCCCAACCCAAGAAGGCAGCTTCTCTGGGGTAATGGGCCTGACCCATATGACTCTCAACTACAGAGCCACCCGTGTCTTCTTCCCTTTGTGTTAACATCAAACACCAGCACTAATACACAACTGGGTAAAACTCAATGGATTTAACATGCCAAACACACCCTGCAGGAGATGAAGAGTGTTTGCAGCAACTCAACCATACTCAAAGCCATGTTATCTTTCAGTTGGCAAATAATTTAATTTTTTGTTATAGCCATTTTTGTTTCCCACCCACCCTCCAGGTTCCGCAATGATTTTTATCAAATACGCACAGGCAGTCCCACAACACGATTTGCAGACAGAATTGTTCTCCAGTCAGGCCAAGGTGAAGATCCAGTCCCAACAGTTTAGGGTCAACTTTGTGAGGGACTCCTGCAGTAGCGATGTGACAGTACAGCTACAGAACCTGATTCATGTGCCCTGCAGAACTGCACTGGCATAGACCAGATCTCACATCACTGCTGCTCTCCATGGCCTTCAGATTTGTGAATCAATCAGCCAAGTGCAAGAGAGAGGAGGAGGGAAGAGGTCATCTAAACCAAGAATCACTGATCTGGGCCCCTTGGGACTCTAATCTTGATTGGATGCAGCTGCAAATGAAATATGGATTATAGAAATACTTTCTTAAATCTTTATTGGTGCAGTTCTGTTTTTAGAAGTCTTGACAGCTGAGGAATGAGTTCAGAAGATTGTATCTGCCACACTTCAAAAGGGCAAGAGTGGGTTGTTTCTCTTAAACTGCTTGGATGTGAAAGCTTGTGTACTAATAGCTAGATGACAACACAGCCGAAGTTTGAATCACTAGTTATATTTAAGAAGCTCATCAATATCATTCAGTAGATAATACCTTCCAGATGCTAGATAACTGCATACATAAATCAATAGTCTTGTTATTGTAGTGCGGTACAGGTACCTTTATCAAAAAAAAAACACAAAAAAAAACAACCTCTTTTTACATTTCTGAAATTATTTCAATGACTATTGGAACTTAAGAATTTCCCTATAGTATCTGCAACCCATATACCATAGCATTGCACTAGTTCATGAGAACATGCCAAATTAACACTATTTAAAGGGCAATACTGACTAGCCTGTCTTCAATCCTCAAGCAAAGCAAAATGTAAGAGTATAAATAAGCAACAAGTGGAGGAAAAGAAAGAGAAATGATAATTTAAGTATATAAACTCCCAGGAGTTAAAACTGGACACACCAGTGCTATAACCCACCAGCACTGGATTATAAATACACACATTTTTTATCCAGACCATGTTATTTTAGTAAACAGCTTAATTCTGGAAGAATACAAAATACTCTGTTTATAGTTACTGCACATAGCAAGTAATGCTCCAGCATCCACAATGAGAAGATGAGCACAATCATCTCTGTAACACTGGAAACAGCCCACAGCCACATGCTGGACAAAGGCAAAAGTTATTTCCAAGATCTTAAGAGGAAACTAGAAACAAAGGAGAGGCAGTAAACCATCTTTTAAAGCACAGGTGGCCACCCTGTGGCATGAGTAGCCCCTGTGTGTGGCACATGGCAGATAAGGAAGGGAGCAGGAAGCATAGCAGCAAGCATAGCAGCAGATAGGGTAGGCAGCAGAAAGTAGGGCAGCCTTATTTACATTCAGTTAAAACTAAACTCTAATTAAAGTTCCTTTCCATGGCTGGACCGTAATGTTGGCAGCCCCTAAAACCAGCCCTCACACACACACCTGCTGGCTTTAGACACATATCTTCCCTCTGAACAAGACTAAGACCTTTAAGATGCCAACAGCAGAGTCAGAATTCAGCCCCTAAAAATTTTCACAGAAAACTTTCCAAAAACAAAATGTGGATGCTTAACTGTACAAGAAACATTTTCATGGCACCAAACATTTTTAGGCTTCTTGAATTTCTCATTTTTAAATGAAAGAATTTAATTAAATTTTTAAATGGTCTTCTCCACAAATAGCAGGATTTGGGGGTCTCACTTAAAAACAAGAAAGGAACAGAGTCAAGAACTGATTCCCAATGGCAGCTTATTAACCCCAAAACGTTGAAGTTGAGAGGCAATTTCCAGAACGTTCAAACGTGATGAATATTCACACAATCATTTCTCACTACAAGAGAGATTCTGCTCAAACACCAAACAGCGGGTTTATCCTAAGTTACCAGGGTAATTAGTACTACTTGGCAACTACAGGACATTACACAGTGCAAACACAGAAGTCACACCCTCAGCACAACACAGCAAAGGATTGATTTTGTTTGTCTGAAACGGTCCATACTGCATAGAGTTACGACAAATCCAAGACCTAAGTAGGATCATGCTGTTGGGCTCCTGGTGCAAACAAGCAGCGTCTCCATGGTCTTACAAATTTCCTACCAGTTCCAGAGTTGCGAGTCATTTAATCTGTAATATTACTCCCGCACCCCCTTTTTTTTTTTTTTTTTAAAGATATGAAAAACAGGAGATATGGGGTTTTTTGTTCATTACCACCTATCACAGCTAGGACAAGACACTGGGACAAGAAGTTGCAGTGAAAAGCTGCTCTGCTGCACCAGAATGCGCATACGGAAAGAATAACTGCAGTGCTACTAACATTAATTGCCGGCCTGATGGATGTTACCCAGTGGGAACAAACTCATCTGTGCCACTGCTCTAACACAGTTGCCTGTCAGTCAAATGAATGCCAGTCTACCAATGCCTCTGAAGACTTGTATTCTGTTTTTAGCCATTGAAGAACGACAGTGACATTTATTTGACCGTCAGGACACTGTTCCACACTAGTAACTGTGTTTTGAAACAGCATCCTCACTTTAAGTGCCATTGTTCTGACTAGAATATACAGCTAAGAAGCTAGAAACATTTTGCTTCTCTTCTTCGGTGTAAAAACCAGACCTGTAAGACACAGATTTAGCGGTGATGCATTTTTTGCTGAATGACAGACTATAGAACTAGTGAATTATAATATTGTAGACCAGGCTTATCTAGCATGCGGCCCCCCAAGCTGTTTTCTGAGGCCCGAGGTGCTGCAATGGGAAACAGAAGTAAACACTGTACTTTTGTTTCGGGGGGCCGGTGGGGTGATGTGCTACTGCTTCCTGTGAGGTCTCTGAATATGGCTCAGCAGCCCACCGGGTGATAAAAAGTTCATGATCCGGCCCCACATTCAAAAAGGTTGGACACCCCTGTTGTAGACCATTACGCTACCTCTCGCTTCAAATAACTCTGGCTCCCAGGCTGCTGTTATAATAGGGAACACACACACACAGACACACACCAAAGAAAAAAAAAAAAAGGCATTCTAAAATATATGCAGAAAAAAATACCAGGACTAAAGAGTACATTAAAGGGTTCCCGAGATGCTAAGAAACATGGTAAACATCTATATTTTAATCAATATTTCATATGCCACAATCTTCCTTTCAAAAACAAGATTTGGAGATACTGCAATCTTTGTGAAAAACATTAGGCAATTAAAAGGGAAACGGTGACATAAATCACTTTAAGTTAAAAAGTAGTGAACATGCCCTTTAGCCCCATGTTTTTTTCTCCTTTTCTTTGGGATTTCATTATCATCTGACCCCGGGGCTCTTTCCTGCCCAGGGCAGGGGCTCGCACTCGATGATCTACCGAGGTCCCTTCTGACCCGAAAAATCCATGAAATGCAAGGGTCCCTCTCCCTTCCTCTCCCCCTTTAATACCCCTTCCTCCTGACTGCTACTGGAAAGAGCCACACATGAGAAAAACCATCTCACGTACTCTCAGCGGTGCCATCGAGCACCTCAAAACGTTAGACGAGGGAAAAAAAAAAAAACAACTGTCGAACCCCCTCGCTTACGGCAGCCGCACGCGTTACACAGGGCGAGCGCTAGGAAAAATGCTTCATACACAAGTCTGATTTCTCCCCATCAGCGGCAGGCATCGCGGAGGCAGAGCCGCCGGTTTGTTCCTAACGAGAGGGCTCCGAGGTCGCCAGAGCTACCGACTGGGGTGCAAGAGGCGTTTTGTTTCGCCCCCCACTATCCTACGCGAAGCACTGCAACTCGCTTGAAACTATGCTGAGAGACCTGCCTCTAATAAATACACAAGAGAAGAGTTGAACAAAGCAGGATACAGCACCGCTGCCTACACGAGCAGGGGCGGAGCGACAGGACAGGACAGGCCAGGACACGCCGCGGCGGAGGAGCGAGCGAGCAAGACGGCAACAGGAGCGCGGAGTGGGAGACAATTTTGAGGGGCCAAAATCTGGTGGTTTTCATGAAAGACCTCATCGCTGCCACGCGTCCCGATCGCTACCGCTTGTCCCGACCTGCTGGTTGCAACAGAAGCAGTGAGGAGGGCGGCAGAAAGACACGTGAAAGCGGCCCGCGCGGTGCTCGGCGCTGCACTACCCGGCAGTAAAAGTGGGGGGGCTCACCATGGCGAAGCCCGAGAGCAGCGCGGAGGTGCGGCTGGACGCCTTGAGCTTGGCCCGGCTGAGGTAGAGCTTCCGCCAGGACAGCGCCTGCATCGAGTGCTCGCTCAGGCTCATGGGCCCTCCGGCAGCGCCGGCTGCACCGGCCGGACTCAGCGCGGCGGCGGCGCCTGCGCCTGCGCGCGGCCTCTCCTCAGGCGCGGCCTGTGCTGAGGGCACTGCCGACAGCGTTGGGACTTCGACCTGGCTAAATCTGTGATTCTCCACCAGGGTGCCAGGACACCCAGGGGTGCTGCAACGTCCTGTGAAGAGTGCCGCACGGTGTGAGGAGATGCACAGGCCGGTGCCCCACCCTCACTGCTAGGCCCCGCACTGTAATAATCATCGCCAGGTCTTCAAACGGGGGCCGCGCCATTCAGAGGAGTTGTGGAGGGGAGCCTCACATCTAAAAAGCCTGAGACGGGCTGTACTAAATGATGAGCCTCGTACACCAGAAACCTCTCAGATTGATTTTATTATTCAGAAGAATCTGGATTTATCTTGTGAATCATTTTTGCACGCCCAGAAGTATGTGGCTCTCCAAAGCACCCTCGAAAGTATCTCGAGGCACCCTGGGGTGCCAGAGCGCTGGGTTCAGAATCGTTGCGACGGTGAAAACACCCATGCCGATGGCTAGGAGTTAGAAGTGCCAAGTCCCGCTTCTGTTTCTGTGACTCACTCTTCAACACTCTCAAATATCTTGGGTCTTATGTTAGATTGTGTGAACGTTCATTTCTCAAAGTAATTTACAGTTTCAGTTCATGTGCAATTACAGTGCGCTTCCCATGCAGCGATGCATTTCACACTTTGTAATGCATTCAAGCAGATTGAGGCTCTTTGTTTAATAATAAACAGCTTACATTTCTTTTCCAGTGGCAGCTCTGATTTGGAGATCTTTAATGGCTGTGGCAAGGCTCCAAAGCATCACTCTTATTTGGCTGTTTCATTTTACAGTGATTTTGATATAGCAGGCAGGTCTTCAAAAATACCAGATTTGACTGAGGTGCGCTGTATTGTTCTACAGTCTTACTGAGCATTTACATTGTGGTGCCTAGAAGCCACCAGGTTGAGGTGCCAAATGTCATATAAACATACAGTAAATGACAACCTCTGTCCCAGAGAGCTGACACTATAGAAAGCAGCAAAACAATTCACAATTCTCCTTGGATTTAGCATTTCGTTTCTTGAGATAGCAACAAATCTACTTCTGTCTTACGAGTCTGTTAACTTCTGTACTAATCCATTTTCATTTCTTCAGATAGCAACAAGTCTACTTGTGTCTTATGAGTCTGTTAACTTCTGTACTAATCCATTTTAATTTCTTCAGATAGCAACAAGTCTACTTGTGTTTTACGAGTCTGTTAACTTCTGTACTAATCCAGAAAGCATTGGATTTTCAGAGTTCAGTGTGTATAGTCAGTAGATGCATATCTTTTCTGATGAGAAGGAATGGCTTGCAGACTGGATCCGGTGCAAAACTGAAGGAAGTTTGATATTTGATATTTCAAAACAATGCAGGTAGCGTACTTCTCTCTTGTTTTTACTGATATTCAAAGTAGTGTATCAGACACACTGAAGTGGATAATAGCACTACTAAAGTCTAGAGCATTTTGAACATGAAGGCCCCCCCATATTTACCCTCTCTGGTAAATCATACTTATTTTAGTTTTTCACAAAGGGAAAAAGTGAGATGCAGAGAAGCAAACTGACGAGGCAGAGAACGAGGTTGCACAGCACTGCTCAAGCACAGCCAGGAAGAAGATACAGGAAAGTTGGGGTCTAGTACAAAGCTATGAAGGTACTTCTTGTGTCATGAAGACTTTGTGGATTTGGATAGGCTTTGGTGGGTGGGGACAACTTATTTGAGATACTAGAAATAAATGGGTTTTGCATGACTGTTAGTTGCATTGGATAGAAACGGTACTGCTAGATTAATTTTATTTGTCCTTTTACACTTTTTTTTTACTCCCATTCTGATTTGGTAGCATTTTGCAGCACAAAAATCATTCCCTGTGCTTCCAAGTTACATTATCTGGGACTATTCTAGTGGGACTGTCCCAGCCCATCATTGTTCTCTGAAAGATAAGCTGGACCTTTGTATGACGAGAGAGAGTTTTATGTTCTTGTCTGCTGTACACAAACAGCTCTGACAGCACCTGTAAGACTGGGATTTTTCTGTAATTGGGCTTCTTTTCCCCCATAAAATGTCACTTTCTCCTCTTGCTGTGGTACATACTGAATATTTGGTACATACTGAATATGGCTTTGCTGCTGCTTTCCAAATAAAACATGGCTGCATCTCAGTAATGCTGTGTGTACTTAACTCTAGGACCCTTTGAATGAAAGGCTCTGTATATATTAAAAGTATTCATAAAACTGTTCTTTGTTCACTTCTAATTCTGTAAGCACAAATTTAATTAATGACAGATACACAGAAAATAAATAAATGTATTGGGACTATTCTGCACAATTGACTGCCAACCCATGAAAAACATTAAAGACTTTAATAAACTACCACATCTTATTTAGGAACACGTAAAAAATGCTCTATTTCCTACAATTAGATTTTCTGTATTTGAAAACAATGTTGTATTGTAATTTATGAGTCCAATAAAAAATCTGAAACGTAGTAATGATATCTGGAAAGTGAAAATTAATAGCATGAAGGAAAATTGGGTATGATTACAAGCTATGAATGCATCATTAGTTAAGTCTATCCATTGCCCTAATTAGCGCTCCAATACTCTGGCTCTGTGAGCTATAGAAAAACCCAAGATAGGATTGTTCAGATAAACAAAACGTCATCTGTTCTTGGTAGAGGTTATGTCAAAAGTGGGCTGCTTAACAAGTTGGATACCCTTGCTGTAGTTTTTTGGATCCTGCTGCTTGTGTGTTTGCTATACAATTTAATGAATGCTTTCCAGGGCCTAAGCAAGATTAAAAGTTGATTAAAAACCGGAGACTTTCCAATAGCCAATCCAGGATGCTTACTTCCTTTGTGATCTCAGGCATACATTAGAGTGCTTTGAACTCTTTGTCTCTCTACTCTGCCCATCTTTTACTTTTTTGTGTAGCAGGGAAGGTATTGAAAGGGACAAGAATCCTGTGTTCTGGTGCACTGTACAAGCCCTCTATTTAATTCCCTAGCCAATTAATGCATGTTTGTACATATCACATCCCATCTATGTTTCCAAATCAAAATAGACCTAATAGGCCCTATGTTAGGCCTACAAGCCCCAGCATTCAAGTTTTAAAATAAACTTAGCTTTGCCTCCTGTCAAAAAGCAAAAAAAGGATAAACATCTTAAAGAGGCATTTGGGAGCTGACCCCAAAGAGTGGAATGTCCCCCTGAGCTGGCCCTGACTCCTGCTAAGAATTAATAGACATTCACCTTGCTTATTAGATGGAGTTGTACCTATGGCCTACGTTTGACTGAGGTCCAGGATTCCCTCCAGAGGGGGTTGAAGGATGTGTACACCCTACTGCAATGATGTACATGCAGTTTTGTGTCAGACTATCCCCCTCCCTGTTTTTCCTAGAACAAGAGTCAGCATGGTACAGTTCAGAAAGACATTGTAACCCTATAACACTTAATGTGCTTATCACTCACTACTTGGTGCGGAAATATGTGTGTTTATATCAGCTTTTCCAAAGCATATTTATGCAGACATGCAAATTGTCACTTGTTTGTTCTTCTAATTTTCACAGAACCATTTTTTTACATTATATGGAAACAATGGAAAGTGTTGCATTCAAGACAATACAGCAGGAGTGACAAATTCAACAGGCAGGTGACAGAGGATTGTCAGCAGTCTGAAGTCGTGATAAACATACGGTACAATAGCACTCAAGATGTGGGACCAAGCTTGCAGTTGTAATATTTGCACTTTCTACACATAAAAGCTTTCATCCGCTCTGGTTAGTGTCACATGTTTTACAGTTTCCTAAGGGAGTGGAATGGTTAAATATCCAGTTTTCCATCTCTACCCAGGCTAGGATGCCCAACAGGTAGACCACAGTCTATGAGGAAACGAAAAGTGTTTAAGGATCTGATTTCAGCATGGCTTGTTCTATCCAACAGGAAATAAATTTGTCTGTGAGCTCAATAAGGGTGAAATTAATCCGTTCCCACACACAGCCTGAGTAAACAACATTACAGCTCTTGTGATTTTATCAGGAGCCTTGCTATATGAAGTGTTTTTCTTAAAGCTCCAGCTACTAGTTTCTGGTGAAGAGGATCTAGCACCTCCGAGGAAAATTAGAATATAAAACACATTAAAAAAAAAGCAGAGGATTTTTTAACAGTGCGCTGTAGCCTATCTTCCAAAATAAAATACTCATATATTAACTTTTTTAATATACAGGAATACTGAAATGGATGTACTAGTTGTCCAGCTAGCACAGTAGCCTGGCTGACAGTAGTTGGTGCCATATAGTTCAGAGGAAAGTGTGAGAAAGCCCCTGGTGGATGATTGTGGAATAACCTGTCTGGGCGGGGAGAGGTAGTTAGCCATGTTAGCCTGAAGTTAGGTAGGTGGCAGAGCACCATGGTGTCTGCAAGACCAACTGGGCTCAGCAAGGCATGAGATTTCATATGCTACAGTTTACTTTGTCAGATGCATCTGATGAAGTAGGCCATAGTCTAAGAAAACTCACGCCTCTCTGAATGAGTTAGTCTATAAGGTGCCACCCTACCTTGCCTTCTGTCCAACTTCAGACTAATACAGTTAACTGCCTCTCTCTAACTCCTTTTCAATTATCGATTAACTTATGTCCTGAAGGATGGACGTTTACTCTCACTTCTAAATATAGTTATTCTAATACATGCATGCATTTTCTCGGCATCCATAGAAATGTCTAGTGCCTTTTTCTTTCTAATTTTTTTTTATTGTTAGATTAATTGTAGCACGATTCATATGTTTGTTAAAAGAAATAGCAGTTTAAAAACTAAACCGTACAAATCTATTCTGTTGTTTTTCATTTGTTACAATGAGACATGGCATAACATCTGGAAGTGTTAAAATCCATAATTGTTGTCTTGGTACAAGATAATGAACAGCCACTTTTCTGATGCTGGAAATCTAGACTTGGACTGTGATATTCTTGCAGCATCTTTACTTCCTAAACATTAGTAACATACATGTTAACATTGTTGGTGTTTGTGTGATGAATATATTCCTTGTTGTGGTTGCTTTATATGCCAGGAATTCTTAAAGGACAGGATGTGCCTAAATCTTTTTAATATTGATATCTTAATACAACTATGGGGAAATATATATTTTGATATGGAATGAACATCTAGAACGCTCACCACCTGCTATGTATTAATTTATATTACATTCCTGTGAGACAGAGATGTTTCATTGCTCCTATTTATATATATGAAAATGGACAGAAAAATCAAGTGAGTTCCCTACGTTATACCAGCAAATTGTAGTGGATATAGTAATTGAACCTGGCTCTTTTGAGTCCTGGACCAATATATTCCTGCAGGACTATTATTTATCTTTTCACGTGTACCATGATTTCTTAGGTCCTGGTCTTTCTGAGGAGAGTTCCAACGAGGCCTAGGAAGGGTTTTTTTGTGAAGTATTGCATGTTTTGCATTATATTTTAATATTTGAATATGGTCACTAAGGTTTAACCAAATGATTGTGAATGCAGAGGGGCTTCACCTTCGTTTCTAGGAATGACTGTCTTTTGGTTAGAAGAGATGAGAAACAGCATGGAGATAATGGATGGCAACTAATTCTCTAGTGTAAGCCTGTGCACAGAAGTATAGCTTCTGGCCTGCTAGTGTGATTTGCACTCTTTTCTACATTCTTTAGATAGTTTGGATTTTGTTTTTATTTTAGCAAAGGTTAAACATTTTATTAAGGTGTCAGCTCAGAGATGTGTAATGCTTCAGTCTACAACAATGTGGAAATCTGGGAACTAATCCAAAATGACCATTTCCGCCTCCAAACTGCTGGCAGATGATATCAACATTTGATCACTATTACTTTGGGTTAGATTAAAGCTAGTGTCCTACATGTGAAAGGCACTAGATGCCATTGCTAACTCTAGAATCAGATAGTTCCCTCCCCCCTCCAAGTAAATCTTTGTCTTCATAGGTTTGAATAACTCTTATTACATCAAGTGCTTATTTCAGACCATATGTTATAGGCCATATTTTATTTCCCTTTTTACACAGAATAATGTTTTACCGTGACTCATGTGAAGCCCCACAGTCTGTCCCATCCACTCTGCAATGGCTCTTACTCATGTGAAGCACCACAGTCTGTCCCATCCACTCTGCAATGGCTATAGACCCTGATCTTGCAACTTTTTTTGTGCAGCAATTGCTCGTGTGCCTGTCTGGAGAGCTTGCTTGACTTGGGGGGCACAGCAATCCAGCCACACACAGCAAGCATGAAGGACAAAGATCAAACTGTCCTCTTAGGGTGTGTAATGGTGGAATGAATGGAAATTAAACACAGGTAAGAAGTGAATGATTAAATAAATGTCCATGTCCATTATTACAAGATCCTTATGAGCTTTTTGCTATAATCATTGCCAATGTTTACCTGACAGAATAGCCAGTTGATCCTTTTATTCCATTAGTCCAAATTCTTGTAAGCAAACCTTCTTGATGTTGTATAATGCAAGAAGTGTCAAGACATATTTTTCCTACATCCTTGTGAAACATTATGTGGACAGACCCAAAGACCGAAGACTTTGTATATTTAATATAAGGAAAGAGACTAGATTTGTAGTTTTAAAAAGTGAGGCAGCCCCTAATGGCTCTAAAGTATAAATATACCCATGTTCAGTCCTTGTGCCAAACAGTCGTCTGTTAGCTTATGTGAAATGATAAAGTCAGGAAAGAAACTGTTCAAATACATTTGTTAAAAGGGTATTTTATTCTAGAAAATATATTTTTAAACTGGGACTAATTAAAAATGATAGGGGCTACTCCAACAGGGGTGGTCAGAGAAAGGCATATTTGTATGGTCTAATTTAAATTTCCACGACAGCCTGGAGCGATTCACAAGCTGTGCTCCAGGACCTCGGGGCAGCTCCGGAGTGGCAGCGGCTGGAAAACACAACCCCACGGGAAAGAAATGAGTGCAGCTCTTGACAAAATACCAGTGAGTAACTTCCTGCCTGTTCAGCACCAGCCTTCCCATGCCGCCTGCACGGGTCACATCACCTCTCGGCGATCAGACGCTGGAGACAGGAAGGGAAGGTGTTGCTACAGAGCGGCCGTGCGATTTTCTTGCCGATATCTAGCTGGTCTGATACAAGATCTCCCCTCCACGCAGAGATCTCGCTCCTTGTGCTCGCAGACCAACACGGCTGCAACCTGTGTCCCCTGCACTTCCCTGGAGGGTGCACCCCCTGTCCCGACTCGAGCCGGACCCGCGTGTGCTCCCATGCACCCCACGCGTGCACGCACCCGTAGGCTCCTCCTGGGCGCACGTGTGCACGGACACGTCTGCGGCGCCCGTGTCCATGCGGGAGGCGGCGCCGCGCACGTCAGTGCCTGCCTCCCCCGTGCAGCCGCGGGGCCGTGCCCCGGGGGGATGGGGCTGGGACCCGGCTGCCTCCAGCCCCTGACACGCCAGCTCTCCCCCGTAGCAAACAGCTCAGCGCCTGCGTGCAAATGCCTGCTGCACACTCGTGACCTAACAACAACACACACCGATGTGAGCAGCCAGGCAGCGGCGGCGGCAGCAGCGATCCTCGGCGCTGGGTGCCTGCGACCCGGCCCCCCTCCCCG